ATATATATCAGATTTTAATCCAGGCGTAGATACCCTGTGGAAGTTACTGAATTAATTCAAAGGCAGGCTCCAACTTTGAACATGTTTGTCAAAGTCATATTTAAAAACACCTTGAGATTGTTAACGTGTCACACGTCTAGTAGTTCACAAGTGAAAAATAATTATTTTTAAACGCAGTTGATAATAAAGATATATAATGCCTTAAAAACATACTGTATATATTCATTTTAAATGTTATGCCGTGTTCCCCTTCCTTTTGCCAGTCTCAAAATTATGGAGGTGCTAAATTAGCTACTTAGGCTTTTTGTTTTCTGGGGCTTTTATTTTTACATGAATATTAAAGCCCTTCAATTTTATAAACTAAACTGGTCTTCGCATCATTTCCTGGTTTCTAATTCCGGGTAGCTCTCCATAAATACAAATGGGCAGGTAAGAGGGGCAAGGGCTGCAGACTGTGGGTCAAGCAGAGAACTGGAGAAAGGTCTTTTGAAGTGTTGTGAGCAGGAAACCGCTCAGCCTTTTTAATTAGGAAGCCTAGAGCTGGAGAACTCGGAGGAGGAGCAGGCTCTGTAGCCTGGGGTGGGGAGAAGGAACTAGCCTTCAGGTGCTGGTACTGAGTCACTGTATCTGCAAGGGCGCACGGACCTATAACCACTGTCAAACAACGACGCTTTTTAAATCTTTCTATTGAAGTCTGTGTTTCTTTTTACCTCCAAGAGCTAGGTGGCGAGAAAAAGTTCTGTATGGAGCATCTTTGAAACTAATCAAAAGGCACGAGTATGTGAAATGGCCATCATTTGGGATGTTGAAATGTTTATAACATTATTAGTTTTAATAGAAAGATGTTATTACCTTACATTATAATGGTTTCCCAAAGTCTTTCATCACTGCTGATTAAAATCATATTGCTTCTATTAGCTGCAAGAAACTCACTTAAAGGGAAGGAAAAAAAAACGCTTTCCAGATTGACTTAAGAGACTGCTATAACCACTGCATCAGAAGAAATCAAGCCACACTGAGGCGATCTATAGGTGATACTCAGCTACCATGCGGTGAAAGGAGTGCAGTGTCCTACAAACTATGTAGCTTCCCTTTGTTTAATCTGGCTTTTAGGATAAAGGAAAGTAATGGCTCAGCATTACCAAATGTAACTTTTCCCCTTTCTCTTTCTCCAGGCATCGAGGGACAAGCACACACGTTTTATAGCTAAACATTAAAAAAAAATTACGGGTCATACAAACCATTTAGTTTTGCAGCAAATATAATTCTGTTTTCACAATAATAGATGAAATCTATTCAGTCTGACTCAAATCCAGTTATGCATTCGACACTTTTTTAAACCCTCAAATGATCTTTGCCCTTCTGCAAGTTAAATAATTTTCAAATATATATCAGATTAGGAAATAGATTTGTTAAGAAAAAAAAAAAAAGAACCTGAATTCTAAATGCAGCAGTCTGTTTTGTTGTTCAAATTATTATGCTTTTAGACAAAATTATTCCAGCTGCTCCCTTCCAAGGATATATATATATATATATATATATATATATATATATGGTATATCTTGTATTTGCAATTAAAATACTGACCCATTAAAGCTTGTGAAAATATTTGTGAAACTAAAATATTAAAATAAGGCAAAGAGAATAAATGGATTATTTTTGTGCAAAATAAAAAATACATCATTACTGATCAAATTAATAAAAATATATTTTGTCACTTTCTTCAGGAATTTATAACATTTTTTAGCATGACTAGTAGGCTGTGATCTATGGTTTTAAAAAAAAAACTATATACTATCTGAAAAGAAACTATTTAAAATGTTTAAAATACTATTTCAGTTACTATTTTCCTTATATGCCAAATAAATAAAATCCTTCATCCTTTTAATAGACATTACTTTAAATGTATCAAAAGATCTGTTTCTTTTGAGTGAATTTTGCTATATTCAAATTATGATTAAGCATTTTACATCAATTTTTTAGATTATTTGAGAAAACATCCTGATGTTAATTTTAGGTAAGAATCCTGTGTGACCCTTCTAAATTATTGTGCAAAAGAACAACTCTGAAAATTCTACAGCTGAGTCACAGATTTGTTTTCTGCCCATCACACCAGTCATAAAGTGTATTGACAGAATTATGATCCATCTAAATTCGCATTGTTTCAGCCTTTGCAAGGTTTGGTTAAATTTTCCAACTCCAAGCTGCACAGCAGGTACCTCACATCGTGGAAATTGTGCATTTTTAAAAAAATAAATGAGCTGGGACTTTTGTTCTACATTTCTGCTCACAAGTGACATGCAGTGAATTAAGCGGGTAAAGGAATTTTTATTGATTTCAAGATGTAGTTTAAACATTAATTCTGACATATGATGGAGTTTTTATTGTTATTGTAAAGATAGGTCCTGGGTCAATAATGTCATGTTAACAGGTGGTTTCAATTCCCTGAATAACAAAATGCTGGGTGTGCTAAGTCACAGTACATGTCATGTTTCCATCTAGTATGACATTTTTATGGGGCGCAGGTCCCAAACAGTGAGGGGAGATGCTCTCAGTTGTTCCACTTTCAGTGTTGTTTTCTTTATACTTCAGTATTTACTGTTTCTTTCTTCATGACATGTTTCCTATTAAACATTCTTTGTGTGTGTGTGTGTGTGTTAGCATTTATTTTTTTATTTTTTAATTTTATTGAGAAACAAATATCAATGAGACACTTTCCAAGCTGATTAATAGGACATTTTCAATAATTAATACATTGCACATTGTTATCTTCTCAGTGGTCATCCACAGCACAAGAAACCTATTGAACATTCTTATAGAACACTCAAGACATCTGATCTCTAGATCATTAATAAATTCCCAACCTTGAAGTTCTTGTCTTGAAGACAAGAACTTAAGCAACTGGCTGTAGAAAAAGAGTAGATTCACCAAAAATCCTTTCTCCGAACATAGACTTCCTGGTTTTTTTTTTAAAGTGTCCATTTCAGCATCTCCAGCTCATTAATCATAATGATTATTATAATTATTAGTGGTTTTTAGATTTTCAGTGTAATAAAAAAATTATTAGAGGAGATACAAGCTGTTTTGTACAAATATAGGTGGCTACATGCTAGCAGGATAGCACCAGGGGACACTGCCAAACTACCCAAGTTGTGGCCACTTCACAGACCTTGGTACTCCCAGAAAGAGGAAAACAAAACAGAAAGAAGGGAAGCACAGAGGGAGGGAGGGAGGGAGGCAAGGAGGGTCGGGAATTTGAAGTCTTGAGAGTTCTTCAGCTGCATCCTTTCTTTCCTTCTGGTCACTCTTTCCTTCATGAGGCTTTGAAGGATTCATACATGTTTATTTTTTTCCCTGAAGAATCATATTCATGTGACTTTTGATCTACATACAGTCCATCCCTCCTGCCTTTTACTGGTCCTTAATTTTAGTAAATCCTGACCTCTTTCGCTCATCGATCTGGCACTCCTTGACCCAGGGTGAGGCATCACATGTAGCTGCTGTCTGTACACCTGGTGCACTGCAATCCAAAGAAATATTTATGTTCCTGCCTGCCTGTTGACTGGGGGAAAAAAGGCCTCATTCCTTTTCTTTTTTGTTAAAGTGTCTCTCCTCTGTACCCCTTAATTCAGTGGAGCATATGATTTAAGAACAATGGATCTTTTTAGCCTCTGCTCCAGGGATGTGTATTACTGTACTTCACGCACGTGAAGGCAGTGGTGACTCATGTAGTTCAATGGATCAGTGTGATTGCATATATTTGAATTCATACTCAAGAGATTCTTTTTTGTGTCATAATCTTTTGGGCAGGTTCCAACGGCAAGTGTGGCCATCGAAGGGGCCTCCGCCTTAAACCGCGTTCGTTGGGCTCAGGCCGGCAAGGAAGTTGCTGTCGGGGACTCAGAGGGCCGTATTTGGATCTACGATGTGGGAGAGGTACGTGTTTGTTTGGTTTTTGTTTTCCGGTCTTTGGACTTAAGGATCTACTTTAAGGATCCAGTGAAACTATCGACTGAGCTTCTGGGTGCCAAGAACCCCCTTGAGTGGTTGGCAAATTCCCATTGACTTCAGCGGAAGTTCGGCAAGACCGCCTTGGGGCCTCATTTGGTCCCTGTCTCCATGCGCAGGACACTTTAGTTAATGATCTGGACTTCTTCTAGGAGGCCGCCCAATCCCCAGCTTCCTGTGATGAGGCCCGCTGCCTCTCACTGATTTCACAAACATAAAAGTTTACCAGGTGCACCATGTCAACACTGCACAGAATTTGTTGTTTGCTTTGAAAAGTCAGGTTTTAGTCAGTATGTTTAATTAGAATGTGTACTATTTCTTTTTTTTTTTTTTTTAAAGACTACTTAAGGCTGATATTAATCAGGACTTTGTGCCATTTTTATGGCCAACTTATATATGACATATGTATCTTTTGAGTATACCCTACTACATGATATGTGCACTATCCCGAATATCATGATACCTATCAAAGAAAAACACTACATGTTTTTACAAAAAAATCTTTGAAACTTTGTATACCATCTATTTCATGTTATATTATCAATCAGTGGTACTTCAGCTTAATGCGTTAATTTTTATTCTCTGAGAACTTATTGCAAAGCCTACTGTATCTGGTAAGACTGAAAATTTTTTTCCTCAAAAGCAAATATTGAAATTTCAAACAAAGCAAAAGAGGAGTGTTGTGTGAAACTTCTTTGGAATCATCTGAATCAAATATTTGCGTTCCAGTGGGGAAACATACCACATTTTATGCGTAATATTCCAAGTCTAGAAAGTATCTGTGAATAACTGCTGGACAAGTTTAGCTACTCATTCTGAGAAGGGTGCTTTATGGTTTTATCAACCAATATCCCATAAATTTGAGAACTCCAGATTGTTTATTCTACAGTGGGACTTCTGATAACACATTGCTACAGTTGATTACGTTGAAACAAACTAAATGTTCCTTTTTCTAAACTCATATGGAAACAGTCATTTGAATGACTTTAAAAATGAGAGTTTTCTATTCTGTGATGTACAACTTGAACAACTAGAAGAATCTCTCAACTTTTTTTCTGCTTGCCCAAATGCCGTGTACCTTGACTATTCCCAATGTCACAGTCTTGCCAACTGTGACAGTCTTACTATTGGCTCCTAAGGATGAAGATACAAATGCTTTGTGATTATTGGTGGAGCTTGATGTATTTGGGAAGGAGAAGGCTTTATGAGTTGGAAATATCACCAACAGTCATAAGCAATATTTTATCTGAGGAGCATTCATCATACTTCATGGGAATGATGCAAAACAATGATGACAACAGAAATACTGTCTATTGGATCATTTCCTACAATATAAAAAAGAGCATATAAATATAATATTCCTTAATTCTTCTATAAGTCTATGAAGCATTAATTGTTTTATCTCTATTTGCTTCACCTCAAAAGAATCAAAAAAGAGAATGGCTTAATAATTTCATTTATTTCTAAAAAGGCCATTTGAAAAACCTTTGTGTTCACTTAAATATTATACATTCACACATATACAGATGTACATATACATGTGAACACACATCTTCATTCTATAAGAAAATACAGTACAGTATATATACAGAATTTTCTGCAATGCAGTGATTTTATAGCTTCTGCACAAAAATACTGGAATGTGACTCCTATTTTGGAAGTGTACAGGATTTTATAAAAGTTTTTTTGGCTGATATGTGGCTGCTAAAACTTTTTAGGACGCTATCCTCATTTCTGAATTGTAAAATGTTGTTATACTCGTATTTCTCTGGCAGGTTGGGCTGGTTTTCATTTCTGTATTATTGCCCTTGCTTTTCTAAGTGATATTACAGACTATAGAAATGTCTGCAACTATAGGCCAGTCTCGCCTATTGTCTGGAGTCTAGACAGGCTATAGAAAAATCTCGGTGACATATAATAGGCTAAACAATTTGTAGGCTTGTTTATCCTTACAAATTCACTACCAGAAAAAAAAAAGGATATACTATTTTATTGAACGTAGGTAATATTACAATCTTCCAGCCCTTCTCTGAATGACCAGAAACCAGGATAGGCTTATACAGTTGAAGAATTCTTTCTGTATTGTTTGATCATACACAAAGCAATGTATAGCTTAGAAAGAGTCAGGCTTAACAAAATCATTTTGTCCTCATTATAGCTTCATCCGAAGAATCTTTGTCAAGCATCTTAGGTTTATTTTTGAGGTGAAGAGAGGCACTTCTGCTTCTCCTTGCTCACTTCTGAGCCCTACTGCAAACCTCTGTGAGCCATAACTGTCACTGCACTGTGTACAGGAGGGAAACATGACTTTGCTGCAGCAGAAGCTTAGCACAAGTCCGGCTCTGTGGGATGATGGATCCCTTCGTGGACAAATGCTGCTATTACTGTAATTACTCTGGCCCCATTCGGCAGCCTCGAGCTGATGGAGCATAGCTGTACTTAGAAGAAAAGTGCACCCTCTAAACAGAGCCTTGCCACCCTTCCAACGCAGCTAAGCTGCAGAAAGGCAGATGGAGTGCCATTGCCTCAGCTAGTCCATTGAGAATTAGAGGTCAGATCTACGGCTGCTATGTGGCCCATGAGAGGAGAGGTTTGAGCAGGAAGCAATCTGCATAGAAAATATATATAAGAAGAAGGAAACGAATATGGCACTGAGGATAAAATTGCTGGTAGACTGTGCTGCCATTATTAGTATTCAAAATTGGTCCTCTGGCCATCATTAAAAGTGCATTTCTTACCAGGGTCATGCTGACCCTGGCATAGAAAGTCTTGCTTTGTGGAACCCTCTAGAAAGAAGATGAAATGCTTTGAGATAAACCTTATAATGCAATCAGTCTAAGAAAACAAACAGTAGTGTTTAGAGTCCCTGTTGTTGATCTACTTTCCTTGAGACTGTACTGTATCGCACAGAAATCTGCCTGTGGGAAAACAGTTTGCTTTCATTTCCCATTGCTGATTTGACTAAGAACTCTGCTGGGCTGGGAAGAAAGGAGAAGAAGGCAGAAGCTGCCTGTTGCCAAGGTTCCATTCTACACCGGAAGCTGGCTTTAAGGACATGGGACCTGTGCAACTGCAGATGGCCCTGTGCCCTGGGGAGCTCTGACCTTTGGTTCGATGTTTGACTGCCATTGTCTTGCAATTGGTCAAACATTTTTCAGCAAGAGGTTCCATGTTTTTATTTTGTCCGGGACCTGCAAAAGTGTATAGTTAGTTATTTCTGGGAGAGTACTGTTCTCAGTAGTGATCACAAGGCAAAGAAAAAATGAGAAATTTTGGTCCTCAGCTAAGTTACTAAGAGCTCTCTAGAAATGTGGTTCAATGCAGTACATTCTGTATGATCTTATTACCCATTTCTCAAAACTGTTTAAAAATGTAAATGAGTAAAGTTGTAATTCTCTATTATACAAGTCATGGAGTGTGTACATGAGGCAAATAAGAATTTCTAATTCATCTCTCCACCACCTCATTTTAATACATTGTAATTTTAATTTGAAGAGTAATACAACTTTTTGAAAGATATCTATGATGCCTGCCTCCTCACATACAGTGAGATAAGACAGCCTTTCTTGGCCCACACCATGGTCTAGAACTCCCAAGCAGAGAGACTTCTCCCACCCCCTTGGGGTCTTCTCACTTTAGTCCAGGGGGACTTGCCTTCCTGTGAGACCTGGTTCTTAGTGAGAAGGGCACTGCGGAGAGAAACTCTGGGGCTGCCAGTCCCTACCAACCGTCTGCCTCACCTCCTGTCCCAGCTGAGGCTACAGCTGCTGCAGGGAGTCCCAGCACTGTGCCCCTATGAACACATCCTTCTCTACTACGTCCAATTATTCTCCAGGACTAAGATGATGGCAGAGATCGATGGCATGAGTCCAGATTTATTGATGCAATTTGTTATGAACTTCTGATGGGGATAAGCAGAAGATTGTCTATGAGCTCAGTGAAATCATCAGAGTGAGTTTGGTCACCCCCACGCCCTTTTCTTTTTGCGACATTTAAATGGCAATGGCATTAGTAATATCTGTGGGCCTATGACTCAGGAGGTAAAATATTAAACAAGCATGTGTTTAGGTAGACCGCAGGATGCGGTGTTTATATAGCACACATTTGTGGTTATTTGATTTCAGCACTGTATCAGGAAAACATACTGTCCATATTTATTTTCACAGATAGGGGTCTATTTTCTTTGTGGAGCAAGTGCTTAACTCCTATTAGCAGAGACAGAAGTTATGTGAATCCAACAAAAGACAGAAGAGACCTCTTTTTATCATCTGGCTATAATTTTTACTTGTGCTTTTAGAAGCTACTTAAATGAACAGTGGTTACATATGCCATTTAAATTTTATGAGATTTAAAAGAAAATAAATGAGTCTAGCACTGAAGAAGTTTAGAGAAGTCTCCAAATTGCAGCATGAAATGTGCTCGGGTGTTCTATGTCCCCTCCAAATTGAAACACGGGTAAGTGAACAAGCCATGAATAAAGCGTAAATATAACCTGTGCACAATACCCTCCTCGAGAGTGCTAATCATTGTTGGCTTATTTCTTTTCTTCAAATGGTATATGAACACACAATTTAAAGGATTAAAACTTACGGCTATGGCTTTCTCACGGAATAACAAGATTTGCTGTATAGATGGAGCTGATTTTATTTATTTATTTATTTATTTATTTTTTCCCATAATTTTATTGATAAACAAACAGCAATGAGATGGTTTCAAATCAAATTGGTAGGACAGTTTCAATAATTAACACATTGCATACATTCTTCCTAGTGGTTATTTGCTGTACAAGATGCGGACATGATATCCTATTTACAAACACCATTAGAACAAATCACTCTATTCATTAACAGAATGTAACTATATATCTATCCTAACCACTTTGAATACACAGATACAATGAAGCTGATTTTAATAGTGCATGGACCAGT